CAGCGCGCGCACTTAACCACCAAGCCACAGGGCCGGCCCCTCATATTGTTTTACAAAAGGACTTCTGTGTGCCTCTTGATGTAGCCAATGCAGAGGAGCTCTGCATTTTTTTCTTGGGGCTTGTTACACTTATGCATTGGGAAGAGAAACTTGTAAATCTTAAGCACAAGTTCATTCTTGAGTTTTTTGAATGTGTTTGCCAGCATTTTTTTTCATAAATTCTAATAGTTTATTCTAGAGAAATTAGAAAATATAGATATAGAAGTATAAGGAATTTGGAAGTTACTTGTACTACCGTTATCCAGAAATCACTGTTGGTATCTTAGCATATAACCTTTTCTACTCTTTATAAGCGTATAAATGCACGCTCACCCCCAAGAAAGTGAGATCATACCATATAGATACTTGTCTTCCAACCTTCTAAAGTAATCTTACCCACTGTATGGCTATACCATAATATATTTACCCATTCCCCTGTTATAGACCATCCAGGCTATTACCAGTCTTCTGCTATTATAAATAATACTCTTCTAATATCTTTTTGCATTTATTTTGTGTACTTATTGTCATCTTTTTTTCCTTTATGGTAAATTTCTTTCACTGGAATTTCTGAATTGATACATATTGCCAAATTGACTCCTGGAAAGTTTGAAACACAAACTGGGTAATTTTTAAAAGCTAAAAATAATTTTATGTAAATGTTTATTAGAAGTTTAACAATAGAAAATATTTTTATAAGTGTAATGACCTGTCTTTGTGGAGAAGTAGGACCAGCTGAGCTCTGGTCCCAGCCCTGCCACTGTGTGACCTGTTAAGTCCCTTACCCCTCACCTCACATGCTAGCAGGCACCATTAAGAAAGGTTAAGTGCTGAAGAAAACTGACACTCGGAAGGAAACTTTGTGGAGTTAAAATGATGCTAATTTACTCTGAGGTTCTTGATTTTTTTTCCCCCCTTCATTTAATTGCTGTTAGTCTTTCCACTTTTTGATTCCGATATTCTTTCTCTTAGGTAATTTCCAATGCAAAGAACACAGTCCAAGGATTTAAAAGATTCCATGGCCGAGCATTCTCTGATCCGTTTGTGGAGGCAGAAAAACCTAACCTTGCATATGATATTGTGCAGTTGCCCACTGGATTAACAGGTATAAAGGTAAGGTTTTCAAGATAATGCCTTATAATTAAAATAGACAGTATTTTATTTTATCCAGGTCAATGTATATCAGTACCATTCTGATTTCAAGTTGTAGTGAAAATGCTTACAAATCCTTAGGAAAAGCTTTTGTTAGTAAATACCATTTGGCATTTTTTTGAATGATCTGGATTTTGGTTGGGAGCTGTAGGTGGAACTATTAATAAATGGGTTGGACAGGTGGGTAGTGATGGTTTAAAGTTTATACTGCTGTTGCTGCTCATCTTGTTTACTGATGCAGCAGTCTTTCTGCTGTGATTTTAGTGAACAAATTCTGGAAGATCAGGCAAAGAAATCAACATTTTAAGGTCACTAGCCAGATACATGGCCATACTCTTGACACTAGGGTTTAGGTTGAAAAGAGGTGTTGTTCTTTTGGGGAAAAGGGGGTTTAGTCTTGGATATCTCTGGGACATCTGGAAGAGTCTCTTTGTGAAGCATGCAGTGAACTGATCATATGAAAGAAGTGAGAGGCTGGCAGGTGGGCAGGGTGGACACATCTGCCTCTTTTGCTCTCAGAGGTGGTAAGAGGAAACCAGAAAAGGGTGGTTGAGCTTTCTGGGCAACTGAATGTAGAGGGGAGATTTGGTGTTTGAGACACTCCAGTTGGAGAAATAATGATCATGGAAACAGGCTCAGAATCCAAGAGATGATGATAATTGTGAGAAAAAGATAGTCAATTGTGCTATTGTAGCTGAGAATTCAGTTGAACTTAGAAATGAAGAATTCGGATAACTGAAGAATGATCATTGGGTTTACTTAGGATATCTGTGGCAGTTATCTCAGAACAGTTTGAATGACCTAGTAATGGATAAATCAGGAATGCAGGGGAGGGAAAAAGGAAAAAAAAGGGAGGTGAGGAAATGGGGGATACTTAACAGTTAAGAAATAAATAGGATGGCTATTTTTTTATTTTTACTTTTTGTGAGGAAGATCAGCCCTGAGCTAACAACCATGCTAATCCTCCTCTTTTTGCTGAGGAAGACTGGCTCTGAGCTAACATCTATTGCCAATCTTCCTCCTTTTTTTTTTTCCCCAAAGCCCTAGTAGATAGTTGTATGTCGTAGTCGCACATCCGTCTAGTTGCTGTATGTGGGATGCGGCCTCAGCATGGCTGGACGAGCGGTGCGTCGGTGTGCGCCCGGGATCCGAACCCGGGCCGCCAGTAGCAGAGCGTGTGCACTTAACCACTGAGCCATGGGGCCGGCCCAGGATGGGTATTGGCAGATTTAGTCATAAGCATTGCAGGAGCCAAAGGAGAAAGAGGGTAGGGAGAAGACGTGGGGAACAAGTGGATCCAAGTACAAGAAATTGACTCAGAATTAAGCAAATATCACGGTAGCTTAGATAGAGGCTCACCAGGAGATTTTCCCATCTTTATCGTGCAGTGAAGTGAGACACTGTTAGATTCTAAACCAGAATAAATTATGTTTGGGCTGGGGATGAGACGTGAGGAGAAGGTGGTGTTCAAGCTGAGCTGGAGCAGCAGCTAAAAAAAGAGAGTGATGTTTTCTGGTCTGGATTGTAGTTTGGGATGGGGCTGATCCTAGGCATTCTTTCAGCATTTAAAGTTTGCAATTCTTGTCAGAGTTGCAGACTTTTATCCAAGGTAGGATATCTTGAAGCTGTGTTCATCATTTATTCTTTAATTCAGCAAGTATTTATTGTGTCAGGTCTGTCCTAAGGGCTGAGGCTATGACAGTGAACAAATTTGACAAAAACCGTGTCCTCAGGTTAGATTGGATCCTAATTAGGGAGATGATAATCAAGTCAACACAGTAAATAAAGTAAAACATACATAGTATGTCAGATGGTACAATAGTTTCCACCACCAGACCCCTCTCTGGAGGGGCACTGTGGGTCACGGTGAGCTATACCAGTTTGCTCCTGCACAGGTAATTGTCTCAAGTTTTGTTGGTGGTCACAGTGTATTGTTTACCCATTGGTCCTCATCTCCAGGTTTCATGTTTGACCAGCTAGAAGTGACCTTCTAGTTATTTTGTTTCCAAAACTAACTTTCTTCAATTTCCTCTTGAGGTAATGGTCCATTGATAATGTCACTTTAGGCTTTTAGTTTATGAAGAAAAATATTAAGTCTAGATCCTTTTATTGTTTTATTGCAGGTGAGATATATGGAGGAAGAGCGAAATTTTACCATGGAGCAAGTGACTGCCATGCTTTTGTCCAAACTGAAGGAGACGGCAGAAAGTGCTCTTAAGAAGCCTGTCGTGGACTGTGTTGTTTCGGTGAGTTTGATCTCTACACATTATTGGGAACTTGCATAAAGAAGCAGAGAGAAGAAAGCTGTTAACTGCAAATAAAATTGCTTTTTGCCTTAGGTTGTAATGGTTATTTTAAGAATTTATCAAACTAGTCTTCATTTTCTTGAATATTTTCTGCCCACTAGTTTTTGCTCAGCCCTCCTCTGTTATTCTACCTATTTAGAGGCTTATTTCAAATATCATTTCTTCCTGGATTTCTTCTAGCACCTAGCATAGTGCCTGGCACACGGTAGCCACTCGTTTGTTGAATACTCTCCCTTAGAAACAGTCTTTTTAGCCATTTCTATCTCTGTATCTTTGCTTTCTCTAATGTATCTAGCACTAGAAGTAAGTCAGCAGTAGTGTCTTTTCCGTATTCCTATTTAGATGGAAGCCTGGCTCTTTGTAGCTTTATGCTTATAGTATGGTGGAGTCCTTAGGGACAGTTGAAATTTGAGTAGTTGGATTGGCTTTGCCACTGAATCTCCTCATTCTGCAGTTTTAGTTCTGTGGCTTCTTTTGTCTTTTTTTTTTAAAATTTTTATTTATTTATTTTTCCCCCAAAGCCCCAGCAGATAGCCGCATGTCACAGCTGCACATCCTTCTAGTTGCTGTATGTGGGATACAGGCTCAGCATGGCCGGAGAAGCGGTGCATCGGTGCGCGCCCGGGATCCAAACCTGGGTCACCAGTGGCGGAGCGCGCGCACTTAACTGCTAAGCCATGGGGCCGGCCCTCTTTTGTCTTAATGTTGGTGCATTGATTGGCAAAGCAAGGACTGTTAGGTGGCTTTTTACCACACAGTCTGTTGTCTGGTGGATTCCTTGGTTCTTGGTTATCTAGTGAAGTAGAACTCAAGTTTGTCAGGAAGAATTGGATTATGGCTATGTGCTGCATTTTGGGGATTCTAAGAATAGAAATGTTATTTCTCTTAAAAGAGCTCAGATTCAATACAGGCACTGTATTTCTTAGATGGTTTCTGCTTTTTCCCAACTCTCTATTGGTCTCTTATATTTGTCCTTGTTTCCCCCATCTAGTGCCCTAACTTTGATCCTGCATTATGCTTAGTGTAGAAGTAAAATTTATGTTAAATGGCAGAATGCCTGAGTGGCTTTTCCAGCTTTTGGAATCAAGTTAAAAGGTGATATATTAAGTCATTTGTTGAGGGTTCTCAGGACAACACTGAGTTTTGGTGATTTGCTAGGAGAATTCACAGGACTTAGCTTATAGCTATACTCATGGCTAAGATTCATTACATTGAAAAGATACAAAGCAGAATCAACAAAAGGGAGAAGGTGATGGCCAATGTCTGGAGGAAACTTGGCAGAAACTTCCGAGAGTCCCCTTCCAAGAGTGACTTCCAGAGTCAGACCTTAATTCCTCCAGCAACAAGTTGTGACAACACGTGTGAAATGTCATACTCCAGGGAAGTTCTGCCTGAGCCTAGGAATCCGGAGTTTCTATTGGTGGTCAGTCGTATAGGCACCCTATGCCTAGCATGTACCGGAATTCCAGACTCCCAGAAGTAAAGTAGGTATTCAGCATAACTGTGTTGTACAGTTTAGGCACAGTGAGCTACTCTTATCATTTAGGGAAATTTTTCTATCACTTTAGGGAACTGTTTATCATTTAAGTTCCTATATGCCAGGAAAGGGCCAAGCTTGCCATTGGGCCTTTCTGATAGCAGTCTCTGGCCTCAATGTGAACTCTACTCTGCACAGTCACTGCTCTGGCTCTTGGTACTATGGTATATCTGATTGCTGTGTAAATGGAACCTAGATGTATTTTGCTGTATTTATAAATTGATTATTGTTAAAACAGACTTTATTTTTTGGGGAAGGTAGTGATAGCCCCAGTGTTCAAAAATCAAATGTGTAAAAAAGTGTATAGGAAGCTTTAGCACCCTCTGCTACCTCGTAAGTAGTTTTTCCTTCCCAGAGGTTACCAGTTTTACCACTTTGTTACAGATCTTTCCAGAGGTTTTTAAGTACCCAAGCAAATATGTATAGATCTTTTTTTTTTTTTTTTGATGAGGAAGATTGGCCCTGAGCTAACATCTGTGCCAGTCTTCCTCTACTTTATATGTGGGTTGCTGCCACAGCATGGCTTGATGAGTGGTGTAGGTCTGCACCCAGGATCTGAACCTGAAAACCCGGGCCACCAAAGTGGAGTGTGCCGGACTTAACCACTACGCTACTGGGCTGGCCCCTGTATAGGTCTTTTTTTTACTTTCATTTTTATTTTAACAAATTTTGGACAATTTATCTTGTATTTGTTCCATAGCAGTGAAGACGTACTTCATTCCTTATAGTGTCTGCAGAGTATTCTAGTTACGCTTGTACAGTAATCTGTTTAACCAGTCTCTTTTTGTTGGACATTCAGGTTGCTTCCCATTTCTTTGTTTTTTTTAAATTGTAAATAATGCTGCAATGAGTAAACTTGAACAAATATCGTTTTGCTCTTATGTGATGTTTGTAGGATTTATAGGCTGAATTTCTAGAAATGTAATTGCTGGGACAAAGGATATGTGTATTTGTAATTTTTTGTGTGTGTGTGTGTGTGAGGAGATCAGCCCTAAGCTAACATCTGTTGCCAATCTTCCCCTTTTATGCTGAGAAAGATGGGCCCTGGGCTAACATCTGTGCCCATCTTCCTCTATGTTATATGGGACGCCGCCACAGCATGGCTTGACAAGCGGTGCGTTGGTGTGCCTGGGATCCGAACCGGCGAACGCCGGGCCGCAGCAGCGGAGCGCGTGCGCTTAACCGCTACGCCACCGGGCCGGCCCCTGTATTTGTAATTTTAACAGCTGTTAATTGCCTTTTAAAAAATTTGTACTAATTTACACTTCCACCAGCAATGTATGAGAGGGCTTGTTTGACCACAGCCTCAGCAGCCCAGCATGTTGGTGTATTAGCTAATTCTAATTGGTGAATTATGCTATCAAAGTGTATGTGATTTTGATATTTTACTCTAGGTGAAGTTGAACAGTTTTTCATTTAAGACCCATTTTGTATTTCCCTTTCTGTAAAAGCTTCCTGTCCTTTGCTTGTTTTATTTTGAGTCTGTGGTCTTCATTTTGATTTATAGTTCTTAATATATTAGAGAGATTAGCTCTTGGCCGTTTTATGACGTGAGTTGCAAATATTTTTCCCCATTTGGTCATTAGAAATTTTTTATGAGTCAAATTTGTTAATCCTCCTCCTGCCCTTTTTTTCTACTGAGTTTTGTGTTATATTTAGAAATCCCGTCCTACTCTGATACTAAAAATTCCCTTTCATTCTGGTACTCATGATTTTTTTTTAACATTTAAATCTTTGATTTGAAATACATTTTGGTATGGGGGTGCAGTAGGGATTCAACTGTATTTTCTTTCTCTATGGCTGTCCATTTGTCCCACCACTACTTATTGAGTATTCTAACTTTTCCCTCCTGGTTTGAAATACTTCCTTGATCATACACAGAATAAACTGCTGTAGGTATTTGAGGGCGTCTCTGGATTTTACTGACTTTTTTGGCAGGTGCATTTTAAATGAGGAATCTCCATAATATGGTAAACTTTCAAATTTTTTTGTAGGTTCCTTGCTTCTATACTGATGCAGAAAGACGATCAGTGATGGATGCAACACAGATTGCTGGTCTCAATTGCCTGCGATTAATGAATGAAACTACTGCAGGTAAAGAGGGACTACTAACTAAAATTTTTGCTTAGACTTGAAACTTGTGAAGTCTTAAAACGCTAGAGTTTCTTCTTTATTTTGCTTAGCATGCTTACTACCTATATGTCATAGTATTTTTGGATGCTCTGTCACATATGAAGAATTCATCTGACCAGTACTTTTTCTGTATCCTCATAGCACCTATTTTGGTATTTAATCACATGCTTTTTTAGAAAGGAACACATGTATTGTCTGTTTGGAGCAGTGCTTTAGTTTAAAGATTGGCCTTTTCTTTGACTTACGGAGGTGCAGTCAGAGGAATGGGATGTAAAGCAACATCTCAGGGGCAGGATATGTGGGAATGTTTGAGATGGCACAAGGTAGAAGAAATTTGGGAAAATGTGTTTGGAAAAATTGAGAAAGTGGTTTGGGAAAAATTGCCAAAATCATTGGAACTGGAATTGGAAATTGGAAGCATAAAGGAAGCCAAAATGAATGTCACCATTTAACTCTTTGGAGTTAATGTTCTTCATGAACGAATTATGCAAAGTAAAGTTCTTTATAAAGAATTTATAAAGTTCTTTTTTTTTTTGGTGAGGAGGATCAGCTCTGAGCTAAAATCCATGCTAACCCTCCTCTTTTTGCTGAGGAAGACCGGCTCTGAGCTAGCATCTATAGCCAATCCTCCTCCTTTTCTTCCCCCAAAGGCCCAGTAGATAGTTGTATGTCATAGCTGCACATCCTTCTAGTTGCTGTATGTGGGACGTGGCCTCAGCATGGCTGGAGAAGTGGTGCATCGGTGTGCACCTGGGATCCGAACCTGGGCCGCCAGCAGCGGAGCGCGCACACTTAACCGCTAAGCCACGGGGCCAGCCCTATAAAGTTCTTATAAAGTATTTAATTCTTTCTAAAACATAGTGTGTATGTGGCTCCATTCACTATATACAAAATCTGTTTTTTCCTATTTAAGTGAATTTTAAGTTTACTACTTAAATGATAATATGGTGAATTTAATTTTTTTTCTTGTGTAGTTGCTCTTGCGTATGGAATCTATAAGCAAGATCTTCCTGCCTTAGAAGAGAAACCAAGAAATGTAGTTTTTGTAGACATGGGGCATTCTTCTTATCAAGTTTCTGTATGTGCATTTAATAGAGGAAAACTTAAAGTAAGTATATTTTTTCTGGAAGACTGTATTATAAGTGTATGGTAATTAGAAATTTATGACAGACAATTGAAAGAATTGCTTAAATTTAGAATTTTGTTTCACTGATGGAAACTTGCCATTTGAACTATAAACTAGATATGTAGGGTTGGGGTGGAAGTTGTAAAGTCCCTAATAATTTATCCAAGAGTTGACATGGTGTGAAGCAAAGAGCATGGATCTTGAGGAAAAAGCTCTTAAAATTCTTGAGCCTTATTTTTCTTATTTATAATGTGGGGAAAATAATGCTTACCTTGCAGGCTTATTAGGATTCTTTAACATGTAGTCCCTTGGTATATTGTACACTGAGAATTGAGGAAATGATAAAGGTATTCTCTTCTTGCTCTGAAGGTTTTGATTATTCTGGTAAAAGAGTGGAGGGATTAGAAACTTGAACGTCCAAACGAAACCAGACTAGGAGTGATATTCTAGATTTCTGGAAAGCTTAGAGCTTTGGAGAAAGCAGTTTTCTACACAGAGAAGTCTAGTGGTGTTAAAGGCAAGGAGGGGCCAGAAGGGTGATCATGGTCACAGTTGAATTTGCTGGTATATGCTAGTTCCAAAATGGGATATAAAATCAATTCTGTAGCTAGGCGATTTTATCTAGGATTTGCTTACGAACCAAGGATTTTTTTGAGTACTTGCTTTAAGTATTTGGGTTCTATATCAGGGTTCTTGGTGCCAAGGTCTAAATTGGCTTTCTCTCTCCAATTTGGGGGTTGGTGGGGAGGGACTATCTGTCCCAAAACAAGTATTTGTTAGGTTTGGAGGGCATTTTGAGACTGTTTGTTACAGTCCTGTTTCTTTGAAAACTAGACTTGGTTCCACTTTATATTCTGGTTTCTATTGTTTCTAGTTTTTTTTTTTAAATAAGAAAGCAAATCTTTGGGATGGTTGTGAAATAAGAGGTTTGTGATCTTTACAGATATAAATGATGGACCAAGTGTAGTTCTCAGTGTTGAAACTTTACTTTAATCACTAACAGAATTATTTCGAAAACCCATTCTATACTTGCACCTTTTTAAACAGAAGATACTGGCCATAATTTGGCCTTGGCTTTGGATCAAAGTGATGTGTATTAGTGATCATCTGCTTTTTTTCTTTTTCCCAAATTGTCCTTCACTGTCAGCTGTCACCTGTTAGTTTTCCAATTATAATTAAAGTTTAATTATAAAAATACTCATAAAAATATCCCCAAACTTGGAAAATGTTTATGTGTAAAGGAAAAACATAATCTTACTATTCTTAACAGGTGGGTGTATTTCATTTTAGTCTTTTAAGAAAACAAAATTGGAATTATGCTGTGTTCAGTTCAGTGTCCTGTTTTTCTTCAGTTAACCTATTAAGAAAATTTCCTCATGATATTGAGGTGATTGTGGTTGTTTTTTTTTTTTTTTTTTTTT